CATGTTGTGAGTTGACAGAGCACAGTGACTCTCCTATGCTTGCCCTTGGGAAAGGGTGATGATGTTATTGTGATTATTCTGTGTCAGTTACTCTTCTATGTACTCTATAAACATTTTTTTAGGTTTTTACTAAAGCCTTTCACTGGCATCCAAACCACACTAATGAGCCTTCTTTTTGTGAATGACCTTGGGACTGTGAGCAGAGAGTTATTTCATTGTTCTTCCTATCATCATTATTATTACTTTGTGCAGTGTATCACACCATTTTCAAAATGTCTTTTGGTCATCACACGAATATCACTGTGAGGTAGTTACAGCAGTACATGTTGTATGGTTATTAATGGTGGTACTGGGTAAGAACACTCACTCCAGAGCCAGACTGCCTGGCTTTGCATCCTGGTCCCACCAGTTCTATGACTGTAAAGGAGTTATAAAATCTCTCCAGGCCTCAGTTTTCTCATTTATAAAGTAAGGATAATAATACTTTCAGCCTTCTTAGGTTATTGTGATACAAATTGACTAAATCTTAATGGAGTATGTAAAAGAGGAATTGACACAGAGTAATCAAAATAACATCATCACCAACACTGCCATCAATGTCAGCACAGCAGCAGTATCACCATCATCACAACCATATCACGATTACCATCATCATCACTGTCTTCATCATTGTCATCACTGTCACCATCATTACCATCTTCACCATCATCATCCACCACTACCATCACTACCATCATTATCATCATCACCATAGTCATCACCACCCCACCAGCACCACCACCATCATCATCATCACCATCACCACCACCACCGCCATCACCATCATCATCACCATCACCATCACCATTATCACCATAGTCATCACCACCCCACCAGCACCACCACCATCACCATCACCACCATCATCATTATCATCACCATCATCACCACCACCACCACCATCACCACCGTCATCATTATCATCACCATCATCACCATCACCAGCACCACCACCCACCATCATCATCATCACCATCACCACCACCACCACCATCACCATCATCATCATCATCACCATCACCATTATCACCATAGTCATCACCACCCCACCAGCAGCACCACCATCACCATCATCATCACCATGACTACCACCACCACCATCACCACCGTCATCATTATCACCATCATCACCATCACCACCACCACCACCCACCATCATCATCACCACCATCACTACTACCACCAGCACCACCACCATCATCATCATCATCACCACCACCACCATCACCATCACCGTCATCATCATCACCATCACCATTATCACCATAGTCATCATCACCCCACCAGCACCACCACCACCATCATCACCATCACCACAACCACCATCACTGTCATCATCATCACCATCACTATTATCACCATAGTCATCACCACCCCACCAGCACCACCACCGTCATCATTATCATCACCATCACCACCACCACCATCCACTGTCATCATCACCATCACTACCACCACCACCACCACCACCACCATCATCATCTCTGCTTTACAATAGAGGTTCCAAGAGCTTGTGATCTGCCTACGATTCCATTTCCAGTACAGGCTGGGCTAAACACTCAAGTTCAGGTGTCATGGATCCAAAAAAAAAAGGACTTTTTTTCCTCTTGGTCTTTCTTTTATTACACAGCAACATGAAAATGTATTCTTGTTATAAAGGGTTGAGATGATATGACAACAAAGGAAAATGTGAGGGTTCCCTTCCTTTACTTCTTCCCAGCTCTCACCTCTTGCTCCAAAGGTAACCACAGCAAACTAGTTGATGTGCTTCTCGCTGTCTTCTCTCTGGGAAGGACACACATATAAGATCAATATACATATTCATGTGTGTCCTTGTTGACATAAATAATCATAAGAGTGCCTGTCTTACAAAATGGATGAGGAGGTTGAAGAAAATTATGCTTTTTAAAGCACTTTACATGGTGCCAGGCAATATACTAAGTTCCTAATAGTGCTCTCATCAACGGCAGGGGTAAGTTCAATTATTTCTACCCATTTTATTGACATGGAAGCTAAAGATTAGAGAGATTGTCACCTGTGGCACAAAGTCACATAATACTGAAACTGGATTTGAATCCAGTCAGACTTGCCTCAGTGTCTCAATAGCTTTGGCCACTAGGTTATGTGGTTATTTTATAGGCATTATTTTTCCACTTGGTTTTTTTCTTTTAGTAATATTAGCTTGAGCTGTTTCCACGTGTGTAGATATGAGTTTACATCATTCTTTAAATGGCTACATGTGATTCAGTACTTCTTTATTGGGGTTGTTTTCTGGTTTTGTTGGTGTTGTTATTTGTTTTGGTTTGTTTTTGAGATGGGGTCTTGCTCTGTCGCCCAGGCTGGAGTGCAGTGGCGTGATCTCAGCTCACTGCAGCCTCAGCCTCCTGGGCTCAAGCAGTCCTCCTACCTCAGCCTCCAAGTAGCTGTGATTACAGGCATAAATCACCATGCCTGGCTAATTTCATTTTTTTGTAGAGATAAGGTCTCACTATTTTGCTTAGGCAGGATAGTTTTAAACTCCCGGACTCAAGTGAGCCTACTGCCTAGCCCTCCCAAAGGGCTGGGATTAGAGGCATGAGCTACCACACCTGGCCTGGAATTGATATTTGTATAGGTTGTGACTTAGGAATCTAGATTTATGTTTCTCTAAGCAAAGATCCAGTTGTCCCCTCTAGTTATTGAATAATCCATTCTTTCAGCTCATTTGAAGCATCACCTTTATCATAAACTGAATTTCCTTGTATGTATGGCTGTGCATCTGGTTCCTCTTTTCTGTACTGTTGACTTATTTTCTACTCCCACGCCCATACTTAAGTACTTTAATTATTTTAGACTTAGAAAAAAATTTTATGACAGGAAGGGAAAATCCTTCCTTATTGCTGTTCTCTTTCACACACAAAAATGTATTTTTGGGGTGAGCATTTATTCTGTCACGTAAACTTATAGAAGCAGCCTGTCAAGGTCTATAGAGAAAATTCCTGTGGGTATTTAGACTGGGAGTGTGTTGCATTAATAGGTTCATATTTGATAAATCAGCATCTTAATATTTAGATTCCCCATCTAGAAATATAATACATTTCTGTTTAGATCTTTTATGTTCATCAGTTAAGTTCCATAATTTGCTTTATGTAGATCTTGCATTGGAGGGTTTATTAGTTGTTATTACAAATGGGATCCCATTTTCCCATTACATTTACTTAATTTTTATTGCTAGTGAATAGGAAACAATAATTTTTATATATTAATCTTTTATCTAGCCACATGAGTCAATTTTTGTATTTGTGATCTTTATACTTCTTTTTCTTGACATGACATTGGCAAGAAGGAAAACGTAAGGTGTAAAAGTGTACACCTTTGTCTTGTTCCTGTCTTCAGCGAGAATGCTTGTAAGGTTTTACCACTAAATATGATAAATACACTTTATCAGCTTGAAGACATTTCTTTCTATTTGTAGCTTACCAAGCAATATGCTTTTCACTGCAGACTACACCATGCTCTTGTCAAGGGACCTTTATTTTTTCACTTAACGTTTTCCTTGAGAGTCCAGAGACTGCCCAGACTAACTTGGACCTCCCAGCACTGGCATCGTAGCTGAGTCAACCTAGTTTAGAACTGAGTGCTTAGGATTGAGTAATGTCTTCTTTCTTCCTCCTTTCTGCTCACGTTTGACTTCAGATGTACCATGGGCAGGAGCTACTTTGTGTTGATATTTCCTGCCTTCTCTCACCATTCTCGCCCCAGCCCTACCCTTCCTGCAGCAGAAAAGTAAAAAATTTTACAAATAAATAAAAAGTGGCATGTGGACATGGACAAGAGCACCACTTCTGGAATTTTCTGGCAGGCACTACTAAAAAGATTTTTATTTTTGACTTTAAGTAACTTCAACTCTTTTTTTCCACCTGATTATCTTGAGTGGCTAACCACCACCTCATGCTCTGGTTGCTAAGCGGATCTTGTAGTTTCTACAGGAAGGTATGAGAAAGGAATTACCACCTGACATCTGATTTCCTGTTGCAGTTTCATGCAGGTTCTGATGCAGGATGCAGCCATTTTTAACTCTTTCTCGGTCACTGACTTGTACATGGTTAATGCAGATGAACTTTTTTGGTGGTGGAGTGATGAAGATGATTTAATCACAGAGTATATCTGAGAGTTTTTAGGTGGTGATGATTTTTTGCTAGACTGTAAATGAGAGGATTTGTTCTTGTCAGGCACGCATTTGGAACATGACTCTAATGTGACTTGGCACCTGTCTAGAAAATTGTCCCTGTGTCCAGTGACACTTTGCTTTGGGGAAGTCAACACCTGCTGTGATGGCATCTGTCATATTTAGGAATGTGAAATGTGCATGAATAATGCACAGCCACCTTAGTAAAATGCTTTCTCCAGAAAACTCTTCGTGTAAGCCACTGGCAAAAGATTGTTGCAAGCTACATAGAAGAGACTTTGGGTTCTTTTTGAGATAAAAACAGTAGATGATGTATTTTACTATAGCTGTTCTCACTTGACGCAAGTGGGGTTGATTTTATTATTTTCAGATTGTTTAGCCAAGAAACCAAGAACCTGCTAAATATAAGGGCCGTTATTTTTGGTTGGTTTGTTAGAAACAGCATTAGCCCCCAGCAAGGTGGGGTTTTGGGGGAATGGAGTGACTCATCTCAGGCATAGGGTGTGTGTGTTACTGGCAGCCATCTAGGTCGAGAGAGAGGCATAGAAGCAAGAAACACTGAGAGGCAAGGCAACCCCACCAGGCAGGCATGAGTAGCTGGCTTTTGAGCCCCTCCCAGTCAGTGAAGTTGACTTTAGCTTCCAGGGCTGTTCGTGTAGGAAGTTTGGTCAATTAGACAGTTATTTTTCCTTTTTTAGCATCTTCTCTTTTCTTCTAAATCCTCAAGTCCAGAAAAGATTCTGAAATCCATGAGAAGGAGTAAACTCAACCTTCCCTACCTTTTCTCTTGCAGGCAGGTGACAAACATTACCACCCCAGCTGTGCACGATGCAGCAGATGCAACCAGATGTTCACAGAAGGAGAGGAAATGTATCTTCAAGGTGAGGTGGACTCAAGAACACTAGACGTTTTTCCTGCTGGGGGAAAGGAAATCTTGCTATGTTTGTTTGATTGTTTTTAGAGAAGGAGGCATGTTATTAGCTGTGAGACTACCCAAATCCAAGATGATTGCGGCCAAAAGTTACCTCATCAGTTAGTATTAATCGGCCAAGCAATTGACATGCTGGCAGTGAGCCCCTGAGGCTGTTCACGAATGAACTTGTGATGCTGCCTTAATCAAATGAATAGGACTTGACACTTGATGCCTCGGATGTGGGGGAAGAGTGGAAATCAGCAATACCTCCTCTCCAACTTTCCCCGGGAATATGCTTAGGAAGCAAAAGATTAAAAGAGAGAAAGAATTTCTAGAAATTTCTAGAAATGTTACTTATTTGATGGCTACTTTTTTTCTCCTTTCACTTCCCTATGAAAAGGTTTTTTTTTTTTTTTTTTTTTTTTTTTTTTTTTTTTTTTTTTTTTTTTTTTTTTTTTTTTTTTTTTTTTTTTTTTTTTTTTATGAGGGCTCCCAGGCTGCTATTCTCTGTAATTTCAAGAAGAAAATCTCACGTTTGATGAATTATGTCACAGACTTGTTTCACCGCATTAAGATGACTAGCTCTTATGTTGAGAGAAAGACACAGAGAGAATGGGGGATAACAAGAGAACCCACTCTCTGAAAGATAAATTTCTGGTGTCAAGGAAGTATTTATTACCAGGGAGCCATTGGAATCCCAGCACTTTGGGAGGCTGAGTCGGGAAGATTGCTTGAGCTCAGGAGTTCAAGACCAGCCTGGGCAACATAAGGAATCCACAACTCTATTTTATATTATATATATTTAAATATAGATATGTATATAAATATGTGTATATATATATATACACAAATATATGTGTATATATACACATATATTTATATATGTATATATAAACAAATAAATATATTTAAATATATATAATTTTTTTTATATAAACCATATTATCATCCTATCGATCTTATTATCCATCCCCCCAAAACCACACCTCGTTGGGGGCTAATGCTGTTTCTAACAAACCAACCAAAAATGACCCCTGGGCCCTCTGCATTCAGAGGATTTCCTGTGCTTTGTACTCAGCTTTTGAGACAGAGTCAGTGCTGAAGGGGCCTATATGCCTGTCTGCTTTCTGTTTGTTTGATTTTTTTTGTTTGTTTATTTTGGCCCTGGGTTAAGAAGATGGATTCTGCTTTAAGAGAGGATTCTCTTCGAGTCAAACAGCACCTCTGTGTGAGCATTTTACTATTTTTAGCTGGAAAAGGAATTATTAATCAAACAAGGGTTTATCAGTAAAATTAGCAAAACCCGTAAGAGTGTCATTCATTCTGTTTTGGTAATTACTGGGTCTCAGCTGCCTGTGCATGTCATTTCTTGATTTCTCTTTGCACATAGCGCTAAGTGTACTTGTAATGAATGGTTTGCTTTGCTGTCTCAATTTTGTTTTTATGCAACTTAGAAAAGTCTACAGAAAGGATTCCTGAGTATTAAAGCAAAGCCTGGCTGCTCTCCCCTAAAAAAGGCTAGCTACGTGAGAAATTGACAAGCCAAACTTCCTTTGGGCTTTAGAATGATTGCTCTAAAAAATTGTGATTAAAAATATCATTGAATTTTGAAAGGCCCTATGAAGGCAAGTGACAAGCATCTGCCTCTGTGGCCTCATGCGGGATTTATGACACATTTTCCCAAGGACAACAGGCCTTACATCTGCAGTGACAATAGGCAGGTGTCACTTTGCATTTTTCAGCACAAGGCAGATTTATTCTTTATTTGTTTTGTGGGCTTAGATTTTAGCATGTCAATTCAAGCACTCAAAAAACAGAGACACGGGAGAGCCTATCAACCTTGTCTCTGCTAGAAACAGAGACTCAGAGGCTCCGGGTGCAGCTCTACACATTCAGAGTGGTTCTGCAGGCTGGAGAGAGAAGGTTTCAAGCTGTGCACGAATACAGCTATGAAGACATGGCTGGCTGTCAAGGCTGCATTTGGAATTCCAGGGATTGCTCTAAACCTGGAGCTGTGCTTCCGTAGTCTTTGCCTGCCCACTCGGCACATCTTTGAAGAAAGAGCAGTTTCATCTTCTTTAACATCTGATGTTGTGTCCGAGTCACATTCCTTGTGGGTCTGATCTCTGGAGAACAATGGTGCCATTGTGTGGAGACCCGGTATCCTGGCCAGTGGCTGCTGCTCAGCAGAACCTTCACAGTGAATGCATCTCCTGGGCCCGCACCTGACCCCCAGGCCCTCTGCATTCAGAGGGTTTCCTGTGCTTTGTAGTCAGCCTTTGAGCCAGAGTCAGTGCCGAAGGGACCTATACGTCTGCCTACTTTTTGCTTGTTTGATTTTTTGTTTATTTTGGCTCTGGGTTAAGAAGATGGATATAATGATTATTAAGTAAGGATTAAAGTATTATTCTGATATAAAATGTATTTTTTCTCGCCATTAATTTAATATTATTTTAGTGAAATAACTAAGGTGGTGTGAAGTAACTCAGGAGTTATTTTAATTTGGTAACTTTTCAAGTACGCCCAGGTCATTGCTTAAAGTTAAAGATAAATATTTTAGCAGGGCACAGTGGCTCACGCCTGTAATCTCAACACTTTGGGAGGCCGAGGCGGGTGGATCACTTGAGGTCAGAAGTTGGAGACCAGCCTGCCCAACATGGTGAAACCCCGTCTCTACTAAAAATACAAAAATCAGGGGGCCGGGTGCGGTGGCTCACGCCTGTAATCCCAGCACTTTGGGAGGCCGAGGCCGGTGGATCACTTGAGGTCAGAAGTTGGAGACCATCCTGGTCAACATGGTGAAACCCTGTCTCTACTAAAAATACAAAAATCAGCTGGGCATGGTGGTGCATGCCTGTAATCCCAGCTACTCGGGAGGCTGAGACAGGGGAATCGCTTGGGCCTGGGAAGCGGAGGCTGCAGTGAGCCCAGATTGTGCCACTTGCACTCCAACCTGGGGGACAGAGTGAGATGCTGTTTCAAAAAAAAAAAAAAAAAAAGAAAAAAGTGGTCAAGATTTAAACCATGAAATGTGGAAACTGATATTCATACTGTGAATCTTATTTATGTAACTTATGCTTTCAACATAGTAACTTTACTTTCTGAACTGCTCATTTAAGCTCTGCCCATCCCCGCACTTGAACTTGTCCTTACGTGGACGTATCAGCCTTACTCGTAATCATATAAATGATATTTTATAGGTATCTAGTCATACAAAATCATACGAGCAGGCCTTGGATTCTTACAAAATAAGAGCTTCTATTGGAGATAAGTGTTTTGCTGAATTCTGTGATGCTGGTACCGTGTGTAAAAGTGCTTCATAATCCGAGAAAGTGAGGCTATTGACCCAGGAACAGAAAACAACACCTAAATAGTTACTTTACTAGTTTAAAAGCAAAGACTTTTTAGAAAATTACGTAAAAGGTTGAAGGCCAAAGGACATTTTTGGATTTCTAGTATAACTTTCACCCTTTCTATTAGTTTGTTTAATTTCTGATTTCTGTGTAGGTGACTATGTATAATTGAATCAGTGAAAAATTCAGTAAGTTTTGCTTCTGGATATAGACTCTCTGGTTTACTTTATTCCCCTCAACTAACCTCCTTGGTTGTTTTGATGTGATATAAACAATGGCTATTATTTTTTAAATTAAATGCAGCTTGTAGTAAGCACTCAGGCATTCCTTTTAAAGGATGATAATATGGTTTAAAAATAATAAGACATGATTAAGAAATAAATATGTCTTGCATCAACAGACTCATGCCCAGTTAGTGGTCTCTGCGGTCTAGAATTATGACCTTTATCCAACAAGCTTGGGCTAGATCAGAAAAACTCACGTAGACTTTGGACATGTCTGATTTTTCTGTGTTGTGATTCACTTGGGCATGAAGCAATAACACCTTCCCGTGTTGGGGAAAGACGGCTAGGAGCCTTTCTCAGAAGTGCTCTAAGAGGACTTTGCATCTTGCCATTTTCTTGGCTCTTAGCAGTGCATTCTGTCTCCTCAGGTTCCACCGTTTGGCATCCCGACTGTAAGCAATCTACGAAGACCGAGGAAAAGCTGCGGGTAAGGGAACAATGAGAATGTGAAGCCAGGTGCATTTGTAGGCCCCGTGCTCATGGTCACTAATTCTTGGGGCTCGGGTTTAGGTGAAATGACTTTTTACTGACTTTTTTCTTAGCAACTAAGTTCAAAGGCCATTTGGCTAGGGAAGGGGATCCCCTCTTACCTTAAATGTATTGTGGGTTTTGTTCTAAATGCTCGTGTTAAACAAAGTAAGCCTTGGCCTCACTAGTCAGCTTCTTAGAAAAGCATTCAAGGGAAAAGTCAAACCATGCAGATGAGAAAACAGTGACCTATCAAGTGCTAGCTGCAGCATCTGCTGACCTCACCAGGCTTTTTTGGTACTGAATCTATAATGCAGGACTCCGACCCCAGCCCTACATCCATTGCTTACATTTTACTGACCTCTCCTTTTACTGCATCCAAATTCACCAGAAGAGACTCTCAAAGCTGATGCCCTGTCAGATAAAACCTTTGGGGAAAATAATGATGAACCAAGATAGGTAAATTAGTTAATTCTCAGAACAAGAACACCTCCAGATGGCAATATTTTATGTTTTAGAAGCAAAGAGCTGCACACAGTCATAAAACCACGATCATAATCTCTGTCATGTTCAGATGCCCATTTTTCACGTGGGCTAGTAAGTATTTTTCAGTGCAATAATCAGACCGAAGGAATCCCAGTGCTCAGGTTAACCTAACTTAGTGATACCTGGGGAAAAACTGGAGTTTGACTTCACCCTATTTACTGTCTCAGAGAAAAGAATGGCCTGGATTTATTTTGGAGGCCAGACTCTAGTGCATAGTATAATCTCTTCTGCCATTAGCAGGCACCAGAAGCTATGTATGTGGCCCCAGCGGCAGCACAGCTGGTTTATTGAAGGGGTCTAGTCACTGATGTGTGACTTGAGAAGGGCTGACTCAGCTTTGGAGCAGTGATTATCAGCGAGACCCATGTGCTCTGCCTTTTTTCATATCCCTTTGCCTGTCACCTTGGGAAATACAGCTGTTATTTTCCTCATGTGTTTGCTTTATTCCTTCAATGAGCCACACGTATACAGAGGAGATATTTTTCTTTCGTTTTTTGTTTTTTCCTTTTCCTCCTCAACTCGCGTCCATCAATCAGATGGAGACATTTTACCATTTGGATATTTCGGGAACTTGTCTTTTCCCTGTGACTCTGAACAAAAGCAGTGCTTTTAGAATGCACGGTTATTGTGAACATACTTAAGTGGAAGGAAAAAAAATACAACCACTCTTTGTCTGAATAATTGAATAAAGGTAAGAACAGCCAAAGAGGAATTTGGCCACCAATTTTAGGGTGGTTTTACTCTCTGTTTCTGACACACAGGCGCCTGAAGTCCATCAGCTGGACAGTCACATGCTGGCAGAGTCGCCCGGTTTGTGGACTCTAGACTCTGGGTTGTTTGAGAAACTATGAATGCTTTGGAAATGAGTTACCTTTATAAAATATGAGAATGTGAATGATAGTCCTTATTGTGACTGTTTTAATCATAAGAATGAAAAGTTCATAGCATAGCTTGGAGATGCTGCCCGGAAACCACCCAAGTAGCTATAGTAGTTTGTAGTCTCTCTCTAGTGTTGCCGTTAGGTTTTTTAATAATCATTTTTACTTCATCTCTGATGCAGTCTTTTGGGAGATGAAGAGAGGAATGCTAATGAGGCCAGACTGAGTGGAATGTGGGTCTTTTCTGTATCAGGATTGCTTGAGTTTGCAGATCATGTGACTCAAATGATTTTAAAACAACACTCTGATTACATCTTGATGGGAAACTCTTTGGATAAGCTTGTGAAAGCAACTAGTGAAATACTTCCACCCATTCTGGCCAACAGGAGCTATTGTTTTCTTCCTTTAATAAGCCTTCCAGAGAATTCTAAAGCTCTTCTTCTAAATCCGGCATTCACTACTTGGGAGGTCAGGACAGTGCTCTGGGTCACTGTCTTTGGAAAGCCCAGAAGTGAAGCAGCAGCTCCCATGTGCCCAGAGCCGGGGTTCACACTGATGTTGGTGGGGCTTAAAGGGAATAGGTTTTGAACAGAGAAATACGTCTTGTGCGCTCTTAAGGGTGTGTCTACACATCACAAATCTTAAGCCAAGATTTCCAAGCCTTTCACTACGTCACATTAGTGCAGTTTCCATAGCAAAATGAAAATGTTTTAAGACTCTTTCAGCAACCTCACTGAGTAATCCACATTTTTGATATTTAAAAACTCATGGGACATTTGTAACAACAGATTCTCAAGAATGTCTCTCAGTTGGCTTCACTGGCTTCTTATCCTTTATATATTATAAGAATGTCTAAGCCAAAATAAATGGAGAGGAATTGAAGGGGGTTGGAGCTTAGATAAATATACTGTAACTTGAAGACCAGTTAATATGTTTTTAAACATGGGCCCAAAAATTGACCCAAAAAATCCACATGTACACCAGTGAAAGAATCTCACTTGATGTTTACTATCAAGTTAGTTTTCCCTAAGGTTGTTTTTCTTAAAATACTATTTCTGAATTGAGGCTATTCCTGTGTTCATTCTTCCCTTTTCTCATGTTTCATGGCAGCCGCCAAACATTCGGCGTTCTCCATCCGATTTCTTTTATCCCAAAAGTCTGATTCGACGCACAGGACGGTCTCCATCTCTGCAGGTTGGCGCTGTGTCTCGGCTGGGGCTCAGCCGCTGTCCTGGGCCCAGGCTTCTGCCGCTTTTCCCCTGGGCTGCTTTTCTCACGTAACTTTTCAGCTCCTGCAGAAAGCGAATGCTTTTCTCACCCCACGAGCGCCTCTCACATTGACTCTGGCCGTTGTCTTCTTGGATGGATGTTTCATTTAGAGCAGCAGCTAAAGCTTTGTGTTTATTAAAGCAAGCACGTCAGAAGCTGCCTTTTGATCCTGTGTTGCCACGTTTGTTCGCTAAACAAGTGTCTGCTGAGTGCTCAGGTACAGAGCTGGGCTGGATGTGGCAGATCCAGCCTCATAGGCAAGAAAAGACAGATAAATAATTATAAGGTGGTACAGAAACTGGTCCCAGGATATGGATCACATAGGCCAAGCTCTTTGGAATGTCAGATGAGGAAAAGGTCTCAAGGGGCACTTCCTGGGAGAAGTGATCTTTGAGTTGATCTTCAGAGGCTGGGATTTGACCATGAGGGGATGAGGAGAAAGTGGTGGACCTGATGAGGAGATGTGAAGTGTGGAGCTGGGAAACGCAGTGCTTGGGTAGGGAATGGTGTGACTCAGGAAAGGAACAGTGAGCCTGGGCGCAATGGCTCATGCCTGTAATCCCAGCACTTTGGGAGGCCGGGGCAAGTGGATCACTTGAGGTCAGGAGTTTAAGACCACCCTGGCCAACATGGTGAAGCCCTGTCTCTACTAAAANATCGCCTGCAGTTTGTGAGACAACAGCAAGATTGCTTTGATCTAAAGACAGGGTTTGAGGCTGGGCACGGTGGTGGTAATCCCAGCACTTTGGGAGGCCAAGGTGGGCAGATCACTTTACATCAGGAGTTCGAGACCAGCCTGGCCAACACAGTGAAACCCCATCTCTACTAAAAATACAAAAATTAGCCAGGCATGGTCGTGGGTGCCTGTAATCCCAGCTCCTCAGCAGGCTGAGGCAGAATTGCTTGAACCCAGGAGGCGGAGGTTGCAGTGAGCCAAGATTGTGCCACTGCACTCCAGCCTGGGCAACAGAGTGAGACTCTGTCTCAAGAAAAAAAAGCAAAGGAACAGTTAAGTGGGAAAGAAAGAAACTGAGAACAGGCACCTACTCTAGAGTCTGAGGGATTATGTACAATCTCTTTTGCCCTCCCTAAGAGTTCCTTCGAGGTAGCTAATCTTATTCCCATTTTAGAGATGGGGAGACTGAGACCCATTGTAGTTAGGTAACTTCTCCAGAGTTACTCTACTAGTAAGTGGAAGAGCTAGGATTGGAACCCATGTTTCTGTGAGTCAATCACTCATATTCTTTCCACTATACTGCAAGGGGACAGTGAGAGCAAAACCTGAAAGAAAAGAAGAAGGAGAACATTAAATACTGGCTAAGGCTGTTGTCAGGAGGCCGCTGATGGAGTATAAGGAAGAGAGCAGTACCACCTGCCCAGTGTGTCCTGCAGGAAAAGGGAGAGGACTCAGCCAGCCCAGCAGAGGAACTGCCAGGCTGGAGATGATGCTACATGCACAGACCTGACCTTCTTTAGGGGTCTCTGAGAATCAGTGGAAACTTTGGCCTGTTAAACTAGATGCAACTTTCTCCAATCCAATCTTGGCCCAGATGAAACCTGTTCTCTTTCTCTGCTAACAATTCACAGTTGCACGGCAGCTCTTTCAGCTGGGCTGTGTGCCTGTACATTCTGTGCCTGTCAGAACCGCAAGAAGGAAAAGAAGAGTCTGAGTTTCTATTTTTGTTAAATCTTCACCTTCTTTCTTTAAAAATGGAAAAGACAGAAGTATAGTTTAGAGTAGAAGAGAACCTTTTAGAAGTCAATCCCCTGAGTTTCCTCATTGATAGAATGAAGTCAGATGGGCTGGGCATGATGGCGCAAGCCTGTAATCCCAGCACTTTGGGAGGCCAGTGGGGGCAGATCGCTAGAGCCCAGGAGTTTGACCAGCCTGGGCAACATGGCAAAACCCCATATATACCCCTCCAAAAATACAAAAATTAGTCAGGTGTGGTGGTGCACACCTGTACTCTTAGCCACTCAGAGGCTTAGGTGGGAGGATCACCTGAGCCTGGGGAGGCTGAGGCTGCAGTGAGCCAAGATTATGCCATTGCACTCCAGCCTGGGGGACAGAGTGAGACCCTGTCTCAAAAAAAAATTCAGACAGATACAGCAGCATGGCCGAAGCTGCATGGGCTGTTGGAAACAGCAAACTAACTGCACACTTAGCTTCTTGACCCCAGGCCTTGGCGCCTCGCATTGTCCCGTGATACCAGGTTCCTATGATATGATGTATTTTTCGTACAATTTTCATTCTATGTTAAAGTTT